GACATCCGTTGAAGGATGTCATCCGTCCAGAGGCAGTGTTCCTTTTACGTTTCGTTTTTATTTTATTTGTTTATTTTATTTACAGTAATTTATATTTAAATTTATAATTTTAAATGTTATATATGGTTAGTTTTTAAACGTAATAATTTTGTTAAAATATGAATTTGTTAAAATATGAATTTGTTATAGGTGGAGAAGAAGCTTAACGGAAGAGAGAAAGGTAAACGAAAATGGAAGAGAGGAAGAGGTGCAGAGGGAAGTAAATCAGAAGTTTTAAATAAATTAAAATATTAAAATAATAAAAATAAAAAATTTTAACTTTTGAGGATATAATTGTCATTTTAGAAGGATATAATTGGCATTTTAGAAAATTGGGGAGGTGGAGGAAGAGACGTGTGGGGGTGGAGGGAGTAACACCCAAATTTTTAATATTGATAATTTTTGTATCACTTCTCCATTTATAATATTAGAGTCTTCAATAGATAAATCTATAATATTTTTGTCCATTTATCTTCAATCGCTTTTAATTTGTGTATATTATTCGTAAACCGTTAGTGAAATATTTTTTATTAATTAAAGCAGTTTTTATGTATAAAAAAATTAAATACATGCTCTTTTATTATCATTAAAATAATTTATGTAAATATTAAATTACTTTTACACAATTTTTTATTTTATAAATATAGTTTTCAACAGATAAAACAATGGTTTCAAATAAACTAACATTTTTACGTGGAAAAAACATATCATCAGCTTTTTACTTGACAGGATAATTTAAGTTAAAAAATAATAAATTTGGACAAAAAGGAAAAAACTCATGCTTGTTTTTTTAAGTTCTAATTTTTGTCTTTAACTTAAAACTTAATTTTTAACTTAAAAAAAATAGAGGATATTTTTGCGACATTTTGTGACTTCGTCTATCAAGTTTTTTCTCTTACATTTTCTTAGCTGGTTTTAGCTAAGACTTATTACAATTGTATTGTGTTTGGCTATTAGTTAATTATTTAAAAATCTAGTATATATTATGACAATACGGCAAGATTATACTTACTCTTTCTTCACTTAAATGGATGGATTTGAGAGAGAGTGATTGAGTGAATTTGATAGAATTTAAATTAAATTTTATTATTGTTTATTTAAGTGAATTTGAAAGTAAATTTTTTAGTCTCTGACATCAATTAAATCCTACATTAATTTTCACAAACGTTATCCCATCTTCAAATTCACTCAAATAAATAACAATAAAAATTTATCTTTCAATCCTCTCAAATTCACTCAATCACTCTTTCCCTAATTCATTTAAGTGAATAAAGTCTTAATGATTAAATAAGAGTTATTTGTTGATTACGAAGATTTAATATATATATATATATATATATATATATATATATATATATATATATATATATATATATATATATATATATATTAAACAACATCGAGGTTGTAAGGATGAGATCAAAGACGTTTTAAATAATGGTAGCAGTTTGAGTCGAATCTGAAAAGTGATGAATTCATTCTGAATAATAAGGAAAATTATAAGGGAAAATGATACTTAAACAACTATTTTTGACAACATTTAGACACGCGCACACGTGTCAAAATCTGAGTGGTCCAGTTGGAAAAATTAAATGAAAATGGACCACTCAGATTTTGACACGTGTGCGCGTGTATAAATGTTGTCAAAAATGATTGTTTAAGTGTCATTTTTCAATTATAAGTAGAGAGAGCGAAACGTGAAAGGGTCCCTGCAGTTTTTGTGGTTGCTTGTTGTAACGTTATAGCGTGGAAAGTGATTAGATGCAGTGTTGCAGTGAGCATGAAGAAGAAGAGTGACGTGACCATTGATGCGCCATTATGATTCAAGTGGTCAAGAGTGACAAGAGGAAGTGAGGTTCATATTCTTTAATAATTAGTCTAATGGTAAGAGAAGGACAAGAAGAAAGGAAAGGAGCAGCTATTAGAGAAAAAGGTGAAGTGGGTCAACATTTCACATCTTTTATTCAAAACTACCCTTGTCCTTTTGGAATCATTGTTGTACAGAAGTGGAATGTATCTGCTTCCTCCTCTTTCTTATTATCGATCTGGGTATGCCTAACTATCTAAGTACACTTTCTTTAATTTCAATTTTGGCAATTGCAACCCTAATAATAATCAAGGGTTAAATACATTTTTAGTCTTTAAACTATTAGTCATTTCTGATTTTCGTCCATTTTTTAAAGTTAGGTACAATTTGATCCTCATTCTTTTGGAAAAGTTCGTTTTAGTCTTCGAAAACTAACACCGTTTAAAAATTTGGTCCTCAATTTAGCAACAAAATGAGAACTAAAACCAAAATTCCGAGGACTAAAATGAATGTTTCGAAAAAAATGAGGACCAAATTGTACCTTACTTTAAAAGAGGGACGAAAACCAGAAACGACCAATAGTTTAGGGACTAAAAACATATTTAACCCAATAATCAAAACTCTGATCGATTACAAAATTTATATAATTCTTCGGTGTGGGTAACCTGTATATTCTTGCAAAAAGTTTTACATGATGCTTGCCTTTTATCCAAAAATCAGCAAGCATTATTACATTTCAAAGGCTGTGAGTAACGTGCAAAGTTATATTTCGTGTATACCTTCATTTCCACCTTAAGACTTATTTTACAACATTTTAATTTAACTTTTCTCACTTTTATTGTGATATATCAATTTTAAAATATTTTTGCAGCTTTTGAGATGTAAGAAAGATACTTTTATTGTTTATTTTAATATATATATATATATATATATATATATATATATATATATATATTAATGACTGGATTTAAGTGGATGAATATGAGGAAATGCAAACAAAATTGTAAGATTATTTGGATTAAGAAATTTAAATAGATAAATGAAATAAATGTTCGTGAATGATGTGATGTGTAAGAAATTAAAAAAAACATTAATTGATCAAAAAATATTATCAATTTATTTTTATGTTGATTTTTATATAAATTTTAATTTAAGTAGTAAAAAGTAAATTAAAATAAAATTGAAATTGTTAACGATAACAAAATTTAAAATTACAATAATAAAAGAACTTCCTTCACCAAATATGTTTGAGATTTGACTCTACCAATTCAATACAAGTTTATAATAGATTCAATACAAGTTTTTTTTCAAAGAAATACATTTAGAAAAAATTAATATAAGAGAAGACATTATTATAATAATTTATAAGTATTAAATAATGGATTGTTCGATCGAAGAATTTAATAAGGTCAATATTTTTTTTTATAATTTATTAGTATATATATTTTAATATATATGTCATAAAAATATTTTTAAAATTAAATAATTGTTTTAAATCAGAAAGAATATATGACCTCAATTATTAAGTTAATTTTGAATTAATGAAAATTGTAATTATCATCTCTCATGTGATAGTGGATAAATCCTTAGATAATTAACATATTTTTTTGTAGTAGACACTTAAAATATAATTTAGCCTAAAATTTATTCATCCTAATTTTACCAAATTTTTGTATGTTAGAAACTCGGCCACAATTTGAAATAATAATGTGTTCCATCGCATAAAAAATAAATCAAATCAAATAAACTAATATTTAATAATTATAATCTTCTTCCTACATTTAAAACAGCCAGAACAACTGGTTTTGCATGTAAACTTGCACAGAAGCTTATTTAAACTAAAAGTAACCGGTTCAAAACTTTCAAATCAAATTTATTAAAAATATTTAATTTGCCATAATTCCACCAAAATTTTCAATAATGAAAACTTGACAACAACTCAAGGTCATATATTCCAACACATATAGAATAAACGAAAACAATACTAAATTTTTTTAACTTAATCAAAATTTAAAAAATCAATAGTTTATAAATAAATCCTAAACTCCTAAATGAGTTATACCATAAGTTTCTACAATTAAAAAACATTAATTTTATACATTCTACTAAATTTTTATTGTATCTTCTTCTCACTATAAATATGTCATCATTGTTATAAATCCATTCCTTCCCAACCTTACCAATCAAAATCCATACATACATATATATTTACATATCTACACACACACACATATATATACTCCAAAAACATATTGCACAAATATAAAACTAATTTCTAAACTAATATCTACGATTCTCATGAGTTCAAAATCAACTTAATTTTTATTTACCACCACCATCATTATCAAAATTAATTGCTTTTATATACGAAGTTAATTTTTTTTACCTTATTTTCATGCTTACTGTGAAACTATGTATACAATCTTAAGATTGATAAATGAACTCATTCTAGTAAACGTTGTCCTAATTTGTTACGATATTAAGAGAAAATTCTTGTATTAATTAAATACATAAGTATAAGTAACATGAGATGAAGATAAGAATAATATTTTACGATAAAATAATAGAACCGGAATCTCTGGCACCCATTAGTATTGATTCACATAGCTAAGTATTTTGGTGAGTTTGCGACCATACTTGCAAGTGTATAAGAACAGTAGATGAGAAGTTAAGGTTAGAATAATGGGTTGATTAAAAGAATAGAGTTGGTGAGGAGGTGGATCCACCAGCAGCAGCAGCAGCAGCTCCGTTAATTATATTTTGAAAAAGGTAAAAAGAGTTGAATCAGAATTCATATGTTGAGAAAATTCCCTCTCCTTTAAGATAAGAGTTTGAGTTTGGGGATATCACTCTTTCTCTTTCTAGCTTCTACACTTTTTCGCTTCTCTTCTCTTCTCTTCCATACCCCAATGCGTGTTCTCTTTCTATTTCTGTTTTTCCATCTTCATCAAACCCTTTCGCTGCCATTCTCAGAGTACAATGCCCTTCGCTCTATTCGTTCAGCCATCACCGATGCCACTCCACCAGTTCTCTCTTCCTGGAATGCCTCCACCTCTTACTGTTCCTGGCTCGGCGTCACATGCGATTCGCACCGCCACGTCGTCGCTCTCAACCTCACCGGACTCCACCTCTCCGGGACTCTCTCCGCCGACATAGCTCACCTCCCATTCCTCTCCAATCTCTCGCTCGCCGAAAATAAGTTCTCCGGCCCCATCCCTCCGGCTCTCTCCTCCCTCTCTGCCCTCCGCCTCCTCAACCTCTCCAACAATGGCTTTAACCAAACTTTTCCCTCGGAGCTCTCGCGCCTCCAGACCCTCGAGGTCCTCGACCTCTACAACAACAACATGACCGGCGCACTCCCTCTGGCCGTCGCGCAGATGCTTAACCTCCGCCACTTGCATCTCGGCGGGAACTTCTTCTCCGGCCGGATCCCTCCGGAGTACGGACAGTGGCCGCTCCTCGAGTACCTTGCTGTCTCCGGCAACGAGCTCGGCGGGAAAATACCGCCGGAGATCGGGAACCTGACCAGCCTTCGGGAGCTCTACCTCGGCTACTACAACACCTACGTGGACAGCATTCCGCCGGAGATCGGGAACTTGTCAGAGTTGGTGAGGCTGGACGCCGCGTACTGTGGTTTGTCTGGCGAGATTACACCGGCGCTGGGTAAGCTGCAGAAGCTGGACACGCTGTTCCTTCAGGTGAATGCGCTAACAGGGCCTCTGGCGCCGGAGCTGGGGAACCTGAAGAGCCTGAAATCGATGGATTTGTCTAACAACATGCTCTCTGGCGAGATTCCGGCGAGTTTCAGCGAGCTCAAGAATATTACGCTGCTGAACCTGTTCAGGAACAAGCTTCATGGAGCAATACCGGAGTTTATAGGGGACCTTCCGTCACTGGAAGTGGTGCAACTGTGGGAAAACAACTTCACAGGTAGCATTCCTGACGGTTTAGGCAAGAACGGGAGACTGAACGTTGTTGATCTTTCTTCTAACAAATTAACCGGGACTTTGCCTCCTTATCTCTGTTCTGGGAACACCCTTCGGACTTTGATAACTCTCGAGAATTTCTTGTTCGGTCCAATACCGGAATCGCTTGGGAGTTGTGAATCCCTTCTTCGGATTCGAATGGGAGAGAACTTTCTAAATGGGTCCATTCCGAAAGGGCTTTTTGGACTTCCCAAACTGACCCAGGTTGAGCTTCAGGATAATTATCTATCCGGAGAGTTTCCGGAGGCGGGCTCTGTAGCTGTTAATCTTGGTCAGATAACTCTCTCCAACAATCAGCTTTCTGGGTCTTTGCCTCCTTCTATTGGCAACTTCTCCGGCGTGCAGAAGCTCCTTCTTGACGGTAACATGTTTTCTGGTCGGATACCTCCTCAGATTGGGAAGTTGCAACAGCTCTCAAAGATTGATTTTAGTGGCAACAAGTTCTCGGGTCCTATTTCACCTGAGATCAGTCAGTGTAAGTTGTTGACTTTTCTGGACCTTAGCCGCAATGAGCTTTCCGGAGAGATCCCAAATGAGATTACTGGAATGAGGATCTTGAATTACCTTAATCTCTCAAGTAATCATTTAGTGGGTAGCATTCCCTCTTCAATATCCTCGATGCAAAGCTTAACTTCTGTTGATTTTTCGTACAACAATCTGTCTGGTTTGGTGCCTGGTACCGGTCAGTTCAGCTACTTCAACTACACGTCTTTCCTGGGAAACCCTGACCTCTGTGGTCCCTATTTAGGTGCTTGCAAGGATGGGGTTGCCAATGGTGCACATCAACCTCATGCCAAAGGACTCTCGTCTTCCTTGAAGCTTCTACTTGTTGTCGGTTTGCTTTTATGTTCCATTGCTTTTGCTGTGGCGGCAATATTTAAGGCTCGATCACTGAAGAAGGCCAGTGAGGCTCGTACATGGAAGTTGACTGCATTCCAACGTTTGGACTTCACTGTTGATGATGTTTTGCATTGCTTGAAGGAGGATAATATTATAGGCAAAGGAGGTGCAGGCATTGTCTACAAAGGGGCTATGCCTAACGGGGATCATGTTGCCGTGAAAAGGCTTCCCGCTATGAGTAGAGGCTCTTCCCACGACCACGGGTTCAATGCGGAGATTCAGACACTTGGTCGAATCCGACACAGGCACATTGTTAGACTGCTGGGTTTCTGTTCAAATCACGAGACTAACCTTTTGGTCTATGAGTACATGCCCAATGGAAGCTTGGGTGAGGTTCTTCATGGAAAGAAGGGAGGTCATTTGTATTGGGACATAAGGTATAAAATTGCCGTGGAAGCTGCCAAAGGGCTTTGCTATCTGCACCATGATTGTTCTCCGCTCATTGTTCACCGTGATGTGAAGTCAAACAACATCCTTCTTGATTCTAATCATGAAGCCCATGTTGCTGATTTTGGGCTAGCCAAGTTCCTGCAAGATTCTGGAACATCTGAATGCATGTCTGCTATTGCTGGTTCATATGGATACATAGCTCCGGGTACTGTTCAATTTTGTCATAATTAATGCATTACTACATAAATGTGGCAACATGTTTTCCCGCCCGATCATTACTGTTTGTACTTTCAATTATTGTTGAGAATTTGACTCACTGACTATCATCATGTTTAGGTGTTGACTGTTGATATTCAGGTGATGCGCCTAAATTAATTAACATTGCCGCGTGGTTTTTCTTCACTTTGATTTTCTATCATACCTAAATGATCACTTGATTGGTGTGCTTATTTATTTAGTCTATTTATTTATAAGCCAAAGTGCTGAAAGTAAATGGTAGGTAGCTCTGCTTGGTTTGAATTTGATTGTTTTCCATAGCCCGCTCTCCACACATATGAAGTAGATAACACTGTAGTCATAGGTTGGAATCATTCGCAACAGAAAACTGATGGTTATGGGCAAAATACCAGATTTATAGAACTATATACAAATTTTCACGTACTGCCTTTCTTTTACTTGGTTTCTAATCAATGTGGCCTGCTTTATTTTGCTTATGATACCTGTTTCATGTTTGGTTGGTACTTATAGTTTATTAATTAGCCTGCTTCATTTCAGTTCATGATTCCTTATTGATGTTTGATTGCAGAGTATGCCTACACATTGAAAGTTGATGAGAAAAGCGACGTGTACAGTTTTGGCGTGGTTCTTTTAGAACTTGTAACTGGCAGGAAACCTGTTGGGGAATTTGGTGACGGTGTAGACATTGTGCAATGGACAAGGAAAATGACGGACTCTAGCAAGGAAGAAGTTCTTAAAGTTCTTGATCCTAGGCTTTCCTCGGTTCCCCTCCACGAAGTGATGCATGTTTTCTATGTAGCCATGTTATGTGTTGAAGAACAGGCTGTAGAGAGACCAACTATGCGTGAAGTAGTCCAAATGCTAACAGAGCTTCCAAAGCCACCTGGTTCTAAACAGGAGGACTTAACAGAATCCTCTCTGACATCATCCAATGCTTTAGAATCTCCATCCACAGCCTCTAAAGATCATCAGAATCCTTCTCAATCTCCACCAGCCGATCTTCTTAGCATCTGAAATTATATTTAGTGTTTAATTATAGTTCCCTTGGTTTGTGATAGCTTATTCGTTTACTTTCTGTTAGTGTCTGGGTTTTTTAAAGGTTTTTGTACAGTAGGATTGGTGGGGGTATTTTCTTATAAAGTCATTGTCCTCATCATGCAGTACTGCTTTTAATCTTTGTTACAGCCGTCGTTGTGCTGGCGTACGCTGGGGAGGGTTCAAGGGATTACCCTGTTCATTGAGGGGATCAATAATAGGGAGTGTGAAAGGGACACAACGATGCAAACTGGTTGGGGTATTGAAACAGTGGTGAATCCTGAGAGAATTGCCTCAGTATGAATTGTGAGCCTGAGCTGTGACTGTGAGTCTATCAATCAGGTTTTGGATTAGCTTATTTGAAGAAGTTAACATGTTTCGAGAAAATCGGAGTGAATCATAATACGTGTTTTAGCTTTAGCTTTTTCATTTTCCCAGAAGACAAAAAGGATAGAAGAATTTCCCCGTTTAAATAACGTAAGAGGTAGGTTGGGGATAACTAAAAAAGATAAGTCTTGTGATCAATTTATATGTATATTATCTTTAGCGTAAACGTTCAATCATTCAGGAAACGGACCACACTGCTTGAAACATGGTAGCTGGCCCTGATATAATCCCAAGAGAATTGTAGCCATTGAATTTTAGTTTCACCTTGCAGAAAGAGCTAGGCGAAGGTTTACCACGTGATACTCAATTAAATATTAGTATTTTTATGCGTCGAGTTGTCATATTTCACCTCCTACAATAAAGTGTAGTAATTTATTTAGTAAGATTGACCAGTTATTTGTCTCGTTGGAGATTCACATAAACCTTTGCTAGGGATGCCTTGCTAGCAACCATAAGAATCTGTCGTGCCACAATTTCTCTGAAGACTCATGCAAGAAACTTTACATTGGCATACTTTTTCGAGAGTAACACTACACAACAGTATGCTATTTTGGCACAAATAAAGTGAATGTGTGCTATGTGTGAAAAATTCGTGCATTGTATTATATCTCCTTCAAATTTCCATTAAGACTTATTATATTAAACTACTTTTTTCTGGACCAGAGAGCGAGAGAGACGAGGGTCCCCTTATAAATAAAATGTTTTTTCATTCTGAATCCAGAACCACGATGGTGGGAAGAGGCTCACGGTTGTACTAAGGATGAGGTTCTTTGGTTAGGTCTAACTGAACATTCATGTGGTCCCAGAAAAGATATTATTAAGTAGTTTGTGAATGAAAAAATTATCAAAAATTCAAATGGCTGGTAGAGGATCTCATTGACACAAGATAAATAAATAAATGATAAAAAAAAAGGTGACATTTTCTATTCAAATATTTTATTTTCTGACGGGTAAATAATCTTATCATTCCACACCTTTACAAGAAATAAAACAAAAAAAAAGAGCAACAGTCAATCAGGTCGTTGGAAAAAAAATATTCAATTCAATTAATTTTCTGAAAAAGAAAATAATCAAATGATTCCTTAAACATGCAAACATGGAATGATTTATATGCTATTTTGATAGACTACATGGCTATTATTTTTCAACAAAGCTCCTAAGTTGAAATTTAATTAATGCTACCTTATTTTTTTTTAACCTAATAATCTTAGTTTTAAAATTTATTTTGTAGGAATAAGTTATTATTTAGTGTTAAACTAAATGAAGATTTGAAATAATACGCTCTTTAATTTGTTAAATTGGATTTGCTTACAAATTTTGTTGATAGAATTTTTTATTTAAGTAGTTGGTTAAAGCGACTCCTCTAAATCCGTTTTTTTGGCTATGCAGAGTGTAAGTTTTTCTCATCTTGGTTTTACATTGTACTATTCATATCATTGAATGTAACGTACCATTTACCTGTTTGAAATATTTGTAAGTAAGTTTGTAAACAGTGTCTAAATACTAAGAAGAACATAAAAAAAAAATATTGAAAAGTGGGCTAATAAATACAACATCATTTAAAAATATATATTGTTTTTTCTTTTTGTTAAGAAATAGCCTCCACAAAATAATTAACTTAAATCATATTAATAAATATATTGAAATTGATATTACACATGATTTCTATTTACATGTGTGTGTATATATAACTAATAATTATTTTAAATAACTAATAATTTAGTTTTTAAACAGATGAAATAAATTATGCACATCACAAAAACACAAATGTGGACAACTCACACAATAACATATGTGCGTAAATGAGATTAATGTGTAACACAACTCTTGAGACACTATTTATAAACGCATATGTTATAGTCCCGGAAACGATATTCCTACATTAAATGACATAAATACTATGATATAAAGCTACGATAAGGAAAAGAATAAACTTTATTTATCTAAAATTGAGTTCTAAGAAAATCTTTAACAAACTAATTTAATATAACTTAAATGAAGAATAAATATTTAAAGATATCAATAAAAAATGGAGATTAATTATAAAAAAAATAAAGCATTAATTGTGCATGGAAAGAAAATAGTAGATATAACTTGAATTGGTAGTGATTATTGGTGTATGATTGGAGAATTGAAACCAGAGAAGCTGTGGACAACGGAGACACCATAAGCATGGGACAAAATCTATACATCAATTTTTGTGTGGTACTATGTGCAAGATAAATCCAACACGATAGAACACAAGATAAAGCCCTTCAATGCGGCTTTCAAGTTCAAATTATTTGAAAGTACTGAAATTGAGAAACGAAGGAAAAAGATGAATGGTTAAAGAAAGATGAATCTCTCCCAAAACGACAAACAACTTTACCCAAAAATCTATCAAAACTCATACAGGATAGGGATTGCTACGACATGCACAGTGCCCTACGACGTGAATAATTTCAATCAATTTTTGAGGGAAAAATATTTTTCTTTTATTTTTTCTAAATTTTATTGCTTATTTTTAAATTGATGATTTAATTATCTAACTCTTAAAATATACAATTTTAGTTATTTTTACGTTCTGCATTTATGCAACCAGAAATCAGATAAAAACAATTAAATTCACTCCATATATGTTGTTGGTATCTCCTTATACCTAAATTTAACATTTTTAAAATACATATTCAGTGAAAAGCTGTGAATAAAAAGAAATGATAAAATATTATGATTTTTTATAATTTTGATTAATGGTGAGTGTATTAGGAAAAAGGTGTGTCAGAAAACAAGATGAATGAAAATTGTGTTATTTTCTGCATTTTCTCGCAGTTGTTTGTTTTGAATATTTGCCCAAGCTCTCCCTCTAAATATTCTTAAAAGATTCTTATTTGACAGTTTGCATTTGGAAATATCATGTCAAACATCTCACATTTTTTCTTAGATAAAAAAATGGCCGGTGATCATTCAAAAGTTCTGCATTTAGACATTTTAATTAACTACACTGAAAAAAAATATAATATCAATAAAATAAGAACTAAATTATAAAACATAATAATATTATTTTTAATCTAAAATCTTAAAATAATAATTTTATAAATTTTTTATGTTATTTGATGTTCAAGTTTTTTTATTTTTACTTAATATAAGATTTAAATTTATATTAAGGTTAAAAAAAAGTTGGTTTTTATGGTGGGAAAAGTACATGTATTATGAGAAGTCGAAGTAGTAGCTGGAGTGATTGATTATTTGTGTTGTGTGGTTGCCCACAAGATCTGTCTTTTTAGTATTGTTCCATCTCATTACCTTCTTTGACTTCATTTATTATTGCAGACACCACAGTAGTTATTATAATGTTTCTCACATCTCTTCTTCTCTCTTTCTTCTGCATCTCATACATTCAAGGATCAAATATAATGTTTTTCTCAAATATTGGCTCATATATTTTTATCTTTTAATTACTTTATCAAGTACTAAAAATGGCAACTGAATCTTTTTAATTCAGATATATATTACCCTCACAAATAAACATTCATTATATACTTTTTTATCAAAAACTTGTTGGTAGTTATAAATACTCACTTAAATAGTACTAATAAACTTATTATGTTAATAATTGCCACTAAACTACTACATTCATTTAGTATGTCTTTATTTTCATGAGTAATGTGTATCACATTAAAATACCAATTATATAATGTTAGGTAGTCTTAAAAAAATATTAAATTTTACCACTAACTTATAGTCTGGACGTAATTATCATAGCTATGTATATTTCATAGTATACTTTAAAATGTGATTTTTTTTTATTTATTTATTTTAGTAATGTATTTTTCATTTTCAAATCCTATTAAATAAAATACAAATATTATTTCTTGTTTTTTCCGTTACATTAAAGAATACTTTTTTCATTGAAGAATATTATATAAAGATAATATTTAAAGTAAAAAGAAATGTGAAAAACTAAAAAAATGTTGCTGACGTTGATGTTTGTATTTGGACTACAACAAAAAAAACTCAAAAGTAAATACCTCCACGTAAATCCATGATAGATCCTACATAAAACAAGGATATTTATTATATGACAAGTATAAACATTTTAATTACTCATTTATTTGAGAAATAAATATTATAATAATTTATTCATCACTAAATTTTATTTATGTACTTTTTATAATGAAATAATTAAAGTAAAATTATTGATAAAAAAATCATTAACAAATAATTTTTTTATAATTTAATTCCATAAAATTTGCATTTTTTGGTCCATATTATGAAATTAAAATTGATTTGAAAAAATAATTTTATTTAAATTTATATTTTGCAGTGTAACTTATTTAAAATTACTTTTTCAAAAGACTGATTTTATTATACTTATATATTATTATATAATTATATTTAGATAGCATTTTAAGATTACATTTTTATTTGTAAGAACTTGATCAATAATTTTAAAGGTATTAAAATAATATATTTAAAATTTATATATTTAAATTGTATATAATATATTTTAAATATTTTTTTCTAATTCATCACTTTGATTAATTAGATTCCATACTTAAAGATATTTTTTTGTATTACGTTCTATAAAAAATTTATATGAAACTCCACATATTATTATTAAATATTCTCTAATTAAATAATTGAATCATTAATATCTTATTTCATAGATGAAGAAATTGAGGTTCTTTTGTTTTAATATTCACTTATAACGTTTCTTTTATCATTTAAAAAAAATAAATTTAGTTATTTTATTTTAAAAGGTTAAAGTTTTAAAAAATAAATTATAAAAAATAAAATAGAAAAATACTTAATAATTAAATTTTCCTACTATATTCATTCAAACGTTATTATATAATAAACTTATGAGATGAAAAAAAAACGCTATATTATAAAAATAATATTTCACTGTCAAGGAAAACAAAGAAAAATTATTATTTTTTTTTTAAGAATATGATATAAGAAATGAAAGTAAAATAATAAGTGTATATTTAAATTTCTTTTTTTCCTCGTAATAAAAAAATAACGTATGTGAGTGTGAAAGACAAACATAAAAG